TAATATGGTTTCGACCCATGGTTTCGATTATCATAGGTTCCATTTCGCACATTTTATCATATAACATCATCGATATTCATCAGGCATCATCATATATTTTATTATTTATTCCTGGAAACACATAATTTCAAAAATATCACACACTATTCATCATTTTGTAAATACGTATAATAATTTCTTTCACTATTCCAGAGTGCTGGACACTTACCGGCATTTCTCTTTATTCTGTTATTTACTTGTTTTCACTATTTTTGCTTTGATTTTATCTATTTTTAATTTATTTATTTTATTGACATTTATGACAACCAAATGTTTTTTATCCGTTACCATGGCTACCCATGACACGGATACTCTCTCCAACTACGTCTATGACTATTCAACCTCCACAGACCACCTACTTTGATTCTTTTTGGCTCGATTCGAACCATGTCTAAATTCAAATGGTTCCGGACCTATAAAGGCCGAGCTTCCCTGATCATTGATTCAATTCTACGGCAAAAGTTGCCTACTCAACTTTTGAAAGCTCGCTATCGAGCTCTAAATTAATTAAAGGCCTTGTCCCGGGGCCGACTGCCCCGGGACTCAAGAAAGACCTCAAAGCTTTTTAGCACCTATTGGCTCTCTAAACAACTTCCTAACTCTAATACTCTACTACTCTTCACGTACTCGCAACCTCATCGGTGGGACTGCGCCTGGACTCCAGCTTCTTCGGCCAGCCTCCAACTGCTTCAGCCCGCCTTCTACCGACTCCTGCCGTTTCATCAACGCCTGCCTCTGGCTGATATACGCCGGCCAAACCACCAGCAGCGCCGCCAGCCACTACCAGGGCAGGCCAAGAACTAAGACGGCTGCACAGGAGCGCTTCTGCCTCCAAGGAGCGCCGTCCATCTGCCTGTAGCACGACCTACCGCTCAAGCCGCCCCTGAAGATCGCCGACGACCCACGCCCACTTCACCACTTCCACTTCACACCCCACACTACTCACACATACCATACCCCTATTCTTTTTTTTAACCTGTAAATTCATCTTATTCTTGTAAATATATATATTTTATAACTTCTACCTGTTTTCTTTCTTTTTATTTTGTCGCTACACGACAACCTTTAATTATTTTGTTAAAGTATTCAGAATCACTATATAATTTTAAAATAATACAACATTTATATTGATTTCATTTTTTTATAAATATTGTTGCTAATAATAAGTAATTATTCAGTATCAGTCTCATGAGGAATTGATGGACATTACTGTATTTAAAATCTTAACTTCCCTAAACAATGACCGACAGTTATTTGACCATTTATTAATTCCTGCAATGTCAGGTTGATCTTTTCTTTGGTTGCTACACTCTCTGCAGATCTTCTGGAAATATTATTCGTCTTTTTGAGTTTATTGCAGTAAAAGCTACTGTCCTTCCTAATGCCCACCAAAAATTTAACTATATTAGGTTTTGATTTCACATATCTTTTTACGTGGTTGTGCCATACTACAATATTGTTTGTTTTATGGTCTTCATTATAGGTGCACCATATTGGAAAATAAATGTCATTTTCAAACCAGGTGCTGACAAAATAATCATCAAAAGCTGCCTTTGCCCTTCGGACATACTTCCATTTTATAAAACACTCTTCACTGAACAAATGTAACGGGAGGTGGAACAGTACTGAACATAACTTTACGTGTATTTTGCCCAACTGTTTTGCTTTTCTCTATAAACATCTAGTAAAATGGAAAAAAACATCCAAGGATCTCCGCATCCGGCAATATGCTCCGGATTGCCAATATAGCAGGCACTTCAAAATCCATGCTTAGTTTTAAAGGGTTCCACTTAGATATACGACTTCTTATTAAAGAAAAAAGAATGGCGTATGTTTCAGGGGTTTCATCAGGTAAAAGCACATACAATATCTGCTCTGATACGTTTCTTGGAGGGTGACAGTGATTGGTTGAATTAACAATTGTTCCATGCATTATTTTAATTGTAGATTTGCAGAAAACCTTCTTTCGGCACCTTCATAAATTTAATCCAATTTTATTAGTCCTCTTGAGTATGTATTCAAGTGGGTCACACTTGACATTACTATCGCCATAACATTGATGACATTGATGAGAAGTCATAATCATCACTTAACCAATCTGGATTGATTTGTTAAATAGTAACTGGGCCCTTTTTTGTTTAAAGTATATGTATAAGGCTAAGCTACTTTGTATAAAAAGGTATGGTTCTCGTTTTTACAGTTTCCCAATTTAATACAATTATTTATTTCAATATACTTTTGAATAAAAACAATAGGGATGCGTAAGAGAGATAGCACTACGCATGTGCACAACATTTTAGTGTATGCATTTCCTACCGATAACATAAACACCATGTAATTTTTTTTGTTTTAAATTAAACTACCTACTTTGAATAAGTTTATTTGAATAAAGAACTTAGTTCGGTTAGTTATACATTTATTACTCTAGAGTGGCTGGATTGATTATCATGATGTTTGATTTATATTTGTCATCACCCCGAATACTAATATATTAAGGAGTTTTTGTCGTTAACTGTAACTTTTTTATCAAACACTTCTTTCTTTATTTTTGGTCCCAACTTACCACTCAAAATAATCATCAAACATAGGTGTCATTCGGGACCTCTAGCTTCGGTCCCGAATGCCGTCTCAAAATAATTTATTAATTCCATGTCCCCATCAGGACCAGTGGTCCCGGTCCCAAATGACTACCGACTCAATTGTTCATGGGTTCCTACTTAGTTCTAAAATAATAACAAGAAATTTATATTAAACAATATTAATTTCGAAATTTAAGTATTCGATATTTCTGGGCTTCTGGGCGGTGGCTATAAAAGTATGCGATAAGAGGTAAAAGATAATTGTTTTTAACAGGAAAATTATTAACACTAATGAAACAAATCGGAAATCCAAACAAAATATAGGGTGACGTAATAAATAAAAAAACATTGTTTGATTAGTTTTATATACCTTTAACCCTAATTGCGTGATGTGTTATTTTGATGTTTGTTGAGAGAAAATTAATTAATATTATTCCATTCTATTTCTCAGCTTATCATTTAAATTCTTTAATGATCCTATAGGATACTCTCTTAGATTGAATATTCAAATATACCCTACAGACTTATATTAGAAGAAGGGTTTCGTTTTCACAAGTACAAACGGAATCATTAATTTGTAAAAGTAGTAGGAACTATAAAAATGTTTTTGTCAATTAAACCGGAACTATGAGCTTGCAAATCCAGATCCAATGAGTTTTTTTTTTGACAAACAAGCACATGGTCCGCCTGAAGCTAAGTGGCCACCATACCCTATGGACACTTGCGGTATAAAAATATCTCTCGCGCCTTTGCCTACCCTATCCCTGGGGATGAAACAATACCATCAAGGTATCGGTACTTTTACTCGATACTGTATCGGTCATAAAGTATCGATGCCTAATCGGTCTCGAATGAAAAGTATCGATACTTACTTGTATGGATGACGAACGAAGTTACAATTACAAATTCAGTCACAGTTCTATTTAACGAAAACAAAATAACGACTCACGCAACGCGATGAACGAACGACTGACTGAATAAATTGGAACAAATATAAATCATACGCAATACCTTACCATAAAGTAAATTATCTGCCTATGAGTTTTTGATACTTCTCAGTGAGTGACCGACTGAGTACCGATACAAGTACTTACTTCACGATACTACTTATTACTCTGTTCTAAAGTATCGATGCCAAAAGTACTTGGTATCGAAAGAAAAGTATCGAGTAGTTACTTGTATTTACTCGTATCGTTTCATCCCTACCTATCCCAATACCTTACCACGTTGAGCCCTGGAACCTTACGAACCGACAGAAACACAACACCACCAAAAGGTAGTATTATTGTATTGTCTTCTGTATGGTGGAGCTTACTTCCTTAGACGGGCGCTCCAATTCAAACGGACAATCTATGCTATGCTATAATGTAAAAAGTAAACTGTAACTCTAGACTTCATAATGTGTAACTTAGGTCCGTATTATAGAAAGATTCTCAGTGATTGATCTTGTCTTGAGCATAGTTAGAAAGGGATGTCGCTATATACAGGGCATCCCACGGCTACCTCACACTGAGGGAAAGTATTGTTACGTGTCGGAATGGGGTTCGAAATTATATGCCAGTTCACGCTTGACAGTTCTTTATTCATCACACAGTTCACACAATTATCACACAATATTAATTACAAAACACTCACTAAATACTGTATTTCACTATACAAGTCTCTAAACAATCTCACTTGAACACTTTTGTTGCACTTTGATCGCCTTTGGATTCGCTCCGAAATCGCTGTTGAAACTCAACTGACTCTGCGCGGCGCCAATCGCGCTTATATACGCCGATCGACGCATTCTAGAAAGTACTGTTAAATTGAGAATTACCTAGCACCCGCCAGTACGAAATACCTACTTATACCTATGCAGGTAACACGCATAACTTGTAAACAAGTGCAGATGTGGTTGCACTTTCTCCCTTACGTCGCACTGCATAAGGCTCATTTTAGAATGAGCCGCATTACTCGACCTCTATCGCGACCCGCGGTGCTCTGGCAAATTCAATCTCTAGCACATTCGCGGTTCCGTTTCGAGAGCGTTTGTGACAGTATATTAAATATTGACATTTAAAATGCTATGTTATTTAGAAAATATAATCCTTATGATTAAGCCTTTCGATGGTTATCATAAGATAGGTCGTGTTTTTTTTTCGAAATTTCACGAGTTTGATTCCCAGTTATAGCAGGCGATTTAAAAAAAAATCTGTGAATGCAATTCTAGTTATTACTCAAAATAAAATGATGTATTCTTTCAATAAAATATCCTATCTTCAATATTTAATATACTTTCCCTCATCAGCAACATCCCTTTCTAACTGTACTCAAGTAAAGATCAACACTTAGTTGTCATTCTGTAATACGGACCTTACTGACTGAAAACTATTTCACTAGGAGTCGACACATGGGAACGTTCACTTAGTGAAACTCACAAGGCTGCTTCGTCTGGCGAGGCTGCTGCAGAAGATGGATAGATACTCACAGTACTCGGCTCTGATACTGACTCTGCTCATGCTGTCCTTCACATTAGTTGCTCATTGGCTGGCCTGTATTTGGTTTATCATCGCCGAAAAGGAAATAACTTACCATAAAAACGAAAGTTGGGATTTGGGTAAGTTGTGAGTTTATACTGCTACTCCTTACCTAACAGTTATGTTACGTAATTTTTTCATAGCATAATTAAGACCTATGTTAAGATAAACCAGAATTGATGTTATATCTAGTGATGATAAAAACATACTAAACATTTAAAAAATCTAAGCATCACGCATCATTTACAGAAACTGTGTTTTATTATTTTTTTTTAAGTTCAATACAAGGAAGTATAATTGGCTGATTAAAAAAAAATAACTTTTCTATTTGTGTTTTGTTTTCATAAAAATAAATATTCATATTACATTCCCATTATAGAAATCGTTCAAATGTTCAAAACCGTACGTGTTGCTCAGACTTTTTAAGGTTCACTTGCGTGGCGTCACTAAGCGCGTTCTATCGTCTGTACCACGGCGAGTGTTCTGAGGAGTTATTCTCTCTTATTCCACCTTCCCCTTTCCTTCAGAGGACCACGCGCGCTGGCCTGCTTTGTAACCGTCTAACTGTGGCCACAATTCCAACGCGTACAAAGAAATTTGGTGACTCATTTCTTTGTCGCACTATTCGTAAATGGAATGCTCTGCCCGCTCACGTGTTCCCTCCCTCTTACAACCTAGGATTCTTTAAAAGAAGCGTGAAGAAGCAACATGCAGGCTGGCAGGGTGACAATGGCTGGTGTGGTAGGTAGAACTGCTGTATCAGCTACCTTCACTTAACATCAGGTGGGGTGGATTAATTTGTCGGATCTATCTATAAAAAAAAAATTTTGCTAAAGCTCATATCAAGTAAAACTATATCTATCCCATATAAAAAAGGTCAAAACGCACATGTCAATTTGACATTATTGTATGGGCTTAATGTACTTTTAGACGTCCACTTGCAACATTTTTTTAAATCTCAATTTAAGTAAATCTATATATATATCTCATACAATGATATAAATTTGATATTGGCGTTTTGACAAATTTTCTATGCGTTAAAGCTAGTTTTAGTTGAATTGAGATTTAGTAAATTTGCTGCAAGTGGGCCTTAATGAGTATATTTATTGATTAGACAAAATCCACTTGAGTGCACCCACGACAACGGCTAACTAGAGCCGAGATCGGAGTCTCAGAGACGCCTTCTAGATGAGCTGACCCCCTCAGGTTCGAATGGTCTAGAGGCTCCAGACGGAGAGGAGACTCCCCCCGCGGGGAGATGCTGTCAGCCTGGAATACCTCTAGAGGCACTCGCCAATTCTCGGCTTGAGGTCCCATTAGGATCTCGCCGTCCCCAAACCCGGTAACCCTGTAAAGGTCATCTGCGACCAACAGCATACACAGCAAAAAAAAAACTTGAGTGCAATGAATACAATTCGGTGTAACTGTTAAATAACTTTTTCTAATATATAATAATATATTTATCCTAAAATGTACTTTATAAAGGAACATTTAATTTTATTTCAACTGTTCTTCATGAAACGAACCGCAGCACGAGAGAATTATGTTTAATTGCTTTATACGAAGCTAAATTACCCTTTGTTTATAATTCAACCAAAAGAGCAGTAGGTACGTAATGCAGACAAAAACTTGAATATACTGACAACAACCAAGAAGTATATTCTTAAGAAATAGAAAGAACCTCTCCATGACAAGGGTACGGTAAGGGAATTCCTACATAGCTGTTTATTAAAAAATAATAGACGTGAAGCCTCCTGTGACGTGACATATCTTCAGCCACCCTTTCTACATAAAATAAATATATTTGTGCTAATATTCTAGACGTGAGAAAACGTAATTTAGACGTAAATAAATAAGTATTACGAATCTCTCTACAGTGACATTTTTAATTGGTATTCTTAAAACTTAATTGAAACTTCAATTTCACTCTACCCTTTCAACCGGATACTAAAACATTTTGTAATTTAAATCTGAGTCTATTCAATGAATCAAACTCAAGGAAGTTGTCAGATTTCGTGAAAAGGTTTTTCTTGCAATCCAACCAGTGACAAGCAGTTTCATTGAATTAATGAGGTTTCTTTTTTTAATTAGTTTATTCAATGTTTTGCAGACTCTTCACACTTGTATGTGCCTAAAATAACAACGATAAGTAGAAATACTCAACGAACCCTGTCTTACTAATTACCCTATCCGTTGATAACGTTTTCCCTATCTCCATGGCAGAAAGCACTTTAAACTCGACTCCCGTGAGTTAATTTCAACTTCACAATTGAAATAATTTAAATTTAATTCCTTGAGCAAACAAACACAGCTAATTATGAGTCACAAAATCCTCACTTGCTAACTTTAATATTTTAAATGCGAAAGTAAGTTTGTTTGTTTGTTACGCTTTCACGCCTAATCTGCTGAATCGATTATCATAAATTTTATTATACAGATATTTGTTTGTTTGTTACGCTTTCACGCCTAATCTGCTGAATCGATTATCATAAATTTTATTATACAGATATAGCTGATACCTTGGAGAAGGTTAAAGGCTATTTTCTCCATGAAAACCTTATGGGGGTGTGGCCCCTAAAAGATTCAAAAGGTGGAGGGAGATTAATTTTTGTATGAATTGAGTATGAATATTATTTATGAATGAAGTTTATTTATGTTTCTTAAAGTTGCAAATGAGTAGAGTGTATATGTAAATTCTGTAGCTTGAAGTCGATTTAAACATCACGCGGTACTTTGTTTCAAAGACCCTAAAACCGAGGTATGTTAAAACAAGGTTCGAGGTGAGTTGAAACAGATAATTATTGGGTTGTAATAATGAAGGATTATTTAGTAGAAGAAGCCATATAATTTTAAATATAACACTGAAATATTAGGATATCAATGGTTAAACTGATTAAATAAAAAAAAACTAAAATGGAATTTGCGTATTTCTAACAATTGGTGTGCGTTATTTCTGATACACGTTGTATATCGAGACTCGCAACACCTCTATCAGTCTTCCTCTTGTAATCAGTGGGCATGCTTAAACCAAAGAAACATAATACGCCTCGTCGTTTATGCAAATCAGTCATTCAAAACTTAAACGAGGTTAATTTAAACAAACTGTTTCAAAGTTAAAAAAGTCCGATTTTCTGTTCAACTAGCAACGAAGAACAAGGTTACAGTGCATTTCTGTGTTAACTCAACACAGAAATGCACTGTAACCTTGTTATGAACTGAACCTTTATTTAATGATCCTTCAAAAGCATATATAAAACGCATTCAAAAACAAACGCATTATTCAGATAAAAGCATCGACAAAAAAAATGTATGCTACTCGACTTAAAAGAGCATTGAGAAAGAAAAGAATCTACCTATTATAGATTTTCAAAAAATTTTTTTTTTTCAAAACCAGCTTTTTGTGAAAGCTCACGATTTTTCGGCCGAAAAAGGGCTTTTTTTTTATTAAGTTGTAGTGAGGTGTTGTAATGCGACACTGTCAGCTCGCTGACGGTTTTTAGTTAATAAATTAATAAATATTTCCAACACACACCAAGTAGCCTAGCCCCAAAGTAAGCACTAAAAGGCTTGCGTTATGGGATACCAGGATAACGAATAGAATACATATACTGTATAAGTATATTTATATATAAATACATATCGAACATCCATGACTGGAGTACTAATGCTCGTATTCATCACACAAACATTTGCCCTCACCGGGATTCGAAACCGGGACCTCTCGAGTCGGCGACACCATAAAACCCGGCGTACAAACCACTCGGCCACAGAGGTCGTCGTTAGTTCTAAGAAATTAGTGTTGTTCCAAATCACCTTTGTTTTAAAACACCTCGGTCTCCCTACTGAATATTAATTATATTATCGGACAAACGAGGGGGATGTGCATTACTCGCGCCGCAGGAGAATTTTAGAAACCCTGCACGTGACCCCTGAGTATAGCTAAACTAGCAGCAAAAACCAAGCTAAGCTACCTCAATCTATGAAACTACAAAAAGTATCACGACCAAGATGACCTCCATGATGATAAGATGATGAAAGCTGACAACTCTAAACTAACAGACAAAAGATGTTGTACCTTATTTCAGCATTTGGGAGTTGAATACTAAAGGCATAAGCAATGCAAAAATAACGTTGTCCAAAACGTCGCTACCGCAAAGGGTGACCCAAAAGCACTCTACGAAGCCACAGCTGTACTGTAGCTCTCGAATAGCTACACGAATAAGATTTAGAACGGAAGAATAAAGCTGTAGGTATCTGTCTATAATTACAATCATGGACACAGAACAAAGAAGTTCGTATCCTGCTGAATTTCTAAAATTTTCTTGGGCTATCATGTGTAATCTCGCATAAATTCCAATGGAAATTAAGTGCTTAGCGTATGCGAAATATATATGCACCTCACAATGAGAAGGGCATACGACATAATACCTAACAGCAACATTGGGCGCTTATTAACGAGACGGTTTTCTGCCGGCTCTAAGGCCGGTTTTGTCTAATTCGTTAACAAAGCGAGCAAAAGCTAGTAAGGCAATATTTTTTAACGGTAAACTTAAAAGACAGTGGATGCTAAAGTAACCACCTAATTAATGAACTACTTGGAAATGTTCTAAAGATGTGGCGACTATAAATAATCTTAAGCGTAGACTTGAACATTACCATTATTATCACATAAATGTGTCTTTACATAATTATTATTAAAGCGAACCTATTACTACATCGCCACATTTTTTCCTTCATCATAATATTGTTTGTTTCTTAGGTTTTCACGCACATCACTCATTAAATAAAACTAGTTTTTACGGGTTAATGCACGAAAACTTCATTTATTTATTGACGTTTTATAGCCTTTACAGGCTACGTCGTCAGAATAAAACTTTTATTTAATTTGTCGAGCTACCTTCGAAAGACTTTTATTGAGCGTTTGGTTATTTCATGAACAATGAAATAATATTGTTATTAAAAAAAATTTAAATATTTGTTTAACGGTAAAATATATATTTGGAACAAGGGAATTGCTACCAACAAACTGCATTGCAGTTTGCCAGAAAAAATGTTTTCAATAAAAGTTAATTTTGAATGAAAATACAAATACAAAACAAACCAAATACAACGTAAATACGGGCGCGGGAACCGTGTCATAAATTAACAGAGCAATCCAAATATCGTCTCGTCTTAAGAAATCCAATACCTGATTAATGAAGCTTAGCAAGAAATGATAGCAGTCATTAATAAACTCCCTCAGGCTTGACCCAAGACTGAGCATGATTTATGATTGTTCCTCTTTAGTACTTAGAGAAACAATAATAAAGGATAATGGTAGAAAGTTCCTAAAATAATATTAAGCCATTGTTAGTCAGAGCAATGATGACGCTTTTGATTATTTGTGTACAGAATAAAATACGGAACCACCGCACAGTCTACCAGAGGCCCAAACACGCAGTTTGACAAATCGGTAATCGTATCGTCATCGTTAAATTTTGTATTGAAGGAGCCAGTTTGTACTTACATCCGGTAGAGGGAGGGGGGGGGGGGGAGCTGCTTAGTTTTCATCGCATTGAAGCTACCAGAGCGTAATAAACGCAGAGGAGACGCGCTACGCTTGCCAGTAACCTAGTGTTCCAAGATAGTGAAAAACCACTGGATGGCGTAGTGCGATACGATTACGGAGCTCTAAAAGTTCGTGATTGGGCCTCAGAACTGCAACGAGACAAAAAAATCAACAAGAGATTTTTTTGTTAGCTTGATAAAAAAACACAATGAGAACAAGTTTGCTGAATATGATATTTGTTCCGAAGAACGGCAGCAGTTTTCTTCATTTTCTAAGATTTTCTATTAGGAAAATTTTAAAATGTATTCCAAACAATGTTCATTACTACTCCGTTACATAGAAAGCAGTAATATTATTAATAACAATGTTTATTTTTGGGTGCTAAAGTACTGTAATTGTTTTCAGGGTGGATTAATAACTTAGCAGAGAGGCTAAAAGTGCCAATCCCCAACATCTCTCATAGCGAGAGCTATGTCACCGCTTTGTATTTCACCTGTTCATCGCTGACCAGCGTTGGTTTCGGGAACGTATCTGCTAATACCCTGCCGGAGAAAATCTTCAGTATACTCACAATGTTGGTTGGAGGTATGTTCAATTTATGATTTTTGCATGAGTAGCCCAGTTGCGAAGCAAGCTTATACTATATTTGTAGTTACCTACATTAATTAAATCAATCGGCGCGTTCTCTAAAATGAACATGATTTCAAATTGACGCGGATTATTGCAAATTGGAAATAAACAAATCAAATTGATCACATCTTAATCTTATAGAGAAATGGTTACTGAAACGTTTGTGAAAACCGAGAACAATCCCTATAACATTATCAGAAATCACCATTACTTAGCTCATATGGAGCCGTCACCATATGGGGTCAATCAGTTAGCAAGGCCATGCCCTTGCTTGCGGTTAAGGTTAACGTTAAGAAACGGAATGTGAAATGTTTATCGCGTTTCATGAAGTAAACAAGGTCTTACATCATTATTATAAGTTATGGTACATGAGTCCTGTTAGCTACATTACAAATTTGAGCGTATAAATCGTTAGTCTTAAGGAAAGGTCCGGTTACTTTTTACAACGATTATTATTTACCACTATGGTGGTTTAATTGACGACGACGTCAGCCGTAGAACTCATTGCAATTTTTTTATCTCTTTCATAGTTGGTACCTTCGTACTTAATAATAAAATAAAACTATGATCCGTCTGTCAAAAACCATTAGCAAATAGGCCAACTGGACATTTTGTTAAATGGAATTGCGTAATACATACTGTAATCTAAATAGCTACTCACCAAATTGCGATTTTACTTGATTTGTCTATATTCATATGCGTAACCTACTAAATACCCAGGGAACTTTTTAACGAGATAAAGTATTCTATGAATAAGTTTGAGCTTTTAAGGGTTTAGGGCATAATCCACCTCTACAAAACCAGACATTCAACCATATAAATTATACTGAACTTACCTTCAACCGCCTGTGAATAATTGAGAAACATATCGGCCTCTATAAAGTAGATAAAATACACGGGTCTACCTTGTATCGCAGAACTTTTTATGTCATAATATTATCATATATATCAGCAGAATGCATCAACTTCGTTTTGCAGAAAATCATTTGGCATTCCCTCATTTATCATATCATAATTCAAACGCACTGTAGCATGTTCAAATGAAATGAAATGGAACTTGAAAAGGATGATTATAAAACAATGCGTTTGATTTATGATGTGATAAATGAGTGAATGCTTCTACAGAAGCTACCACTAAACTATTCAAAACAAAAAAATATCATAATATTCTATATAAAATTGTATGTGCAAGCGTTTTATTTTATAATTTTTATAACCACGATCTGCTACCAAACGATGTATGAGCGCAAAGACTTTCATACATGTGCTGTAAATAAATAACTAAAATAAATAAATATTTCCAACACTCACACCAATTAGCCTAGCCTCAAAGTAAGCACTGTAAGGCTTGTGTTATGGGATACTAGGGTAACGGATAGAATACATATACTGTACATATATAAGTATATTTATATATAAATACATATTAAACATCTATGACTGAAGTATAAATGCTCGTATTCATCACACTAACATCTGAACTTACCGGGATTCGAACCCGGGACCTCTCGAGTCGGCGACACCATGAAACCTGGCGTACAAACCACTCGGCCACAGAGGTCGTGCTGTGGTTGACAGCTTCAAAAAAAGATAAGTAAGATTAGGTCTTATATCTTCAAAAAAAGAACACAAAAATATCAGCCGTTCTTTTGTTTGTCCTAAGATGGTCCAAAGAGCTCATGCGATCACGACATACTCTTTCCGAGTGAGAGACGACCGCGAACAGATAGTTCACAATTTATTACACAAAATTAATATTAATTGTATGGCCACTATTTACTAGATAGAGAAGGTGAAGGTTTGCTTTAACAGGAACAGTGCGGTGAGATAAGAGTAGTTTTAGTAGGCTATAAACACTTAATCGAGCGGCGCACAACTCGATCTAACAAACAATGCGTACTACACCGACGCCCGCGACACGAGCGCCAAATCCATATTGAATAAATCGGATTTTCCTATTTATTTTCTAACACGAGTTCTTTCACGACGTGTCTGCTCCTAGAAAGCCATCTACTTAATTACTTTTGCTACAGAACTGCGAAGTAACCGCATAATAACAAACGGAATCCTGCAGATTCTGAATCGATATGAGATGAGTTTTCTTTCATACTGAAACGATGATGAATCATCAAAAGTTCGATATTTAAGTAACAAAACTAACGCATTGGTTTTGGTATTTTTTATTACTAGTGAGCCGCCCTCGTTTTGATTCGGTGCATTGTTTACTAACTATATTTTTTGTGCTTAGAAATGTATGTATTCTAATAAATCTTCCGATAAAAAATCTAATTAATCTTGAAAAGTTCAGAAGTTGGTTTTCAGATCATCGCGAACACAGATAGACAGATTGCAGTGCTATTCTGTAGAAACAAAAATCATTTACATCTCAGAATCCGCGATGTGATTTAAAATTAAAACACGAATTTCAAATAAATTTCAAATAACACCGGCGAATGCTGCGGTAAAAGTGAGTTTATTTTTACAAAATAGCACTGCAGGGGATGTTTTTTATTATAATAAATAATGATGCATATGTTAATGTAAAAAAGCTTATGCATTTTTTATCATTCGCAGCGCTAATGCATGCCGTCGTTTTCGGTAACGTGACTGCGATCATTCAGAGGATGTACTCCCGGCGGTCCATGTACCAGAGCAAATGGAGAGACCTTAAAGACTTCCTGACCATTAACCAAGTGCCCAAGGAGCTGAAGCAGCGCATGCAAGACTACTTCCAAACTATGTGGTCTCTGAACCACGGCATTGACATACACGAGGTAAGCAGTCAGACAAATCGTCCCTACTTGACGTCAATTTACACCTTCTAGATTGGCAAAGCCAGAAAGATATGTATGTACCTACCTCATATTAAAAAAAAACTCCTTGAGAAAACAGAATATTAAGAAATGCATTAGTAATAAGTCCGCTGCCACCATACTTATATGTAGATATTGGGGTAGCTTTCAAGAGTAAAAAGTCTATGAACGGATAAGGATACGGATAAAATAGTTTCGTAAACTACATATTTCGGAAAACATTTAGGACCAAGAAAGATAATTGCGATCTTTTGTTATATCTATGTTATACCTATACTTAAGTATGTCTATCGATCAATAATAAGCAAAATTTTAGTAGCTATGGAAGAGCGAAGTCACCTCACATAGACATTTTTTTTAAAGGTGACTTCAATCACTAGGTATTCCAAATAATTTACCGAAACAAAACATGGTATTGAAATAAATTATTATTACAAGGCCATATCTGTTCAGGCACAATGAAGGAATAAAGAAACGAGCATAATTTCATTCATATAATTTGAACCCTATAAACATTACACTACTTTGTTGGGCAGTCGTATAAAAATAGGCATACCTACTACTTGACTTCAAATTCATTATAAAATCCACAATTGAATTTATTTGATAGAAAAAACACCTGTTTGAATGATTGTACTGTTCGCATCAGAGAATTTTTGTCAGCGACGTAGAGATTTTATTGGAACACAGAATAAATTTATTCAGGCTTTCACTCTTGAATATTGCTTGGTACTACCTATACTGTATAAAGACGACGACAAGCGCCTCTAAATGAATTATTGATTTTATGGGGCCCAGTATCTAGTAGTAAGTAATGTTAATTTATTTTTATGTGTGTGTGCATGTGTGTTAAGTATATGTAGGTATGTATGTCTATTCCAATTGATTCGATCAATGATAACGAATGTATTCGACATGAAGCTCATCGATTGAGTGAAATTTCCACTCAATTTAATTTAATACACTTTTAAGCTATATTTATTTATGTTCGTAGTTCTCGGAATATTAATAATCATTATCATGAGCTTTAATTAATACCCATAGAATTCCACAATTTTCTTGTTTAAAATCACAACGGCAACAACAGACGCGTTTCAATATGATATGTGTTCATAATGTATTGTTGAATTTCCTCTGAATTCAGTCGACGAAATTTTCAACCGCATTTTTATCTTCTTTCTTCTTTACATGCGGGTTGATAAGAACCTTTATTTCAACAATACAAAAAAACTTTGTGCATTCATATACATGGATACATAGATAGATATAACGTTCTCAGTGGCATTGTGCTTGAAACATTGAGTTTCGCGATCGCTTTTGTTTTCAAAAACTCTCCATATCGACTTTATTACTACAAAATCCCCGATATTGCGAAGTTCCAGTGCGCTTTCAACTCTACAGGTACATAAGTATCAAATGATTTATTAGTATATGTAGTCAGACGCAAAACACCCTGAATTATTTATGAAAACATTTAATATCTATCGAGAGTTATTTCCCATTCATAGCGTTATAAATATTTAAGTATTTTATTATTATAAGAAACCAATTACGATGATTAAAAATACAATTACTATTGCTCTATCTACAAAACAAACCAATTGACAGTCGTTTAGTATATCCAAGCCTGCAATTACCAAGCCTATTTCGCTAATAGTATTCTAGTAAGAAGATTCGTATAATTTTCTGCTAGAAATACTTAATCTCGCTCGAGACGTATCAAGGAAAAGGCCCCGGAAAACGTACCGAGGTGGAAATAAAATATCTGCTTCAACTTTTCCTCGTTAGTACCTACGCCGGCAAACGCAAATAAAAACGGAGAAATGCACGTCATTCGATAGTTGCTGCATTGAGTTTGTTTTTTACTAGTCTATCAAAAAAGGAGTCAAAGCAAACTTTTCAGAGTTCATGGTAAATAGTTCATAGGTATGTATTTTTTATGAAATTCCTAGCTTTGGCACTTGTCCCATCGCCAACGATGAGCGAGAAGCGAGTAGAGCTAGAAAATAGAAATGAGTTGAAGATAGAAGTAGGGTTACCACTTAGGAATTTCAAAAGTCCTGAAAAAATCCTGACATTTCGAAAAAAGTCCCGACTTTTTGTTCTTTTTATAACACTTATTTATTTATTACATTTTAAGATGATGAATATAACATAATTGTGATGTAGAGATCGATCGATAGTTGGTAGTGTAGGCCCATCAGAATCCGAGGCCACGTCGAGATGGAGCCAGGGAAGTCGAATGGGTGGGAAAGAGAGGGAGAGGAGAGGACGGTTTAATAATAGTGAGAGGCGAAAGGAAGAGGAGAGGAGAGAAAATGAAACAGAAAATAAATAAAAGGTTTAAAGGATGGGAGAAAGAGTATAAGAGAATAGGTTTAACAATCTTGCATGAAATACAGCCATATTAAGTGTCTCACCGACAGACGCCGCCCGCGGCCGCGAGTCACAAAATGGTATTATTACTCACTTAGTAACAATGGTACGGTATTTAAATTAATATGTACTTTAATATTCATATTCAAAATAATTTAAAAAGCCGGACAATTTAAATATCCGGGCAAAGTCAGGACATGTCCGGACTAATCCGGACGGATGGTAACCCCAGCGGGAAGTGAGTGTGTAGTTCCGATAGTTCTATCGCTGGGCTATAAGCGAGTGTGTGAGTATGACGGGCGATTGCTTGCGCCACTCTCTTCTAGAAGGTAGTTCTGAGCAAAAATGTTCTGTCGGCCATGTGAACAGCGCTGAAAGAGTATTCTCGTTCGTAGTTCTTGATGCTCAGCGACCAAAATAGTGGAGCGAGTTCTCGGCGGCGGTGTGAACACTCAGCGATCAACTATTAATAAATGCATCTGTTTTGTTTACGCGGAATGTATATCTAATGTACGTTTTTTGATCGAGAAAATAGCGGATAATTTAGTTGCTCTCTCGCCGGCGGTATGACAACTGCCTATATCTGAATATGTTATTGAGTATCAATCGACTTTTCGAAAATGTTTTTTCCAAGTGACATTATAGGAATTCTTTCCGATTTTTCCACCAGAGAGCGCTTCAGAAATTCCATTTAATTTCACGCTCTGAGCACTCTATTCGGCGTTATACGTATGTTCAGTGCGCTGACTATGATTTTTTAACGTTGGCGTTGGCATCAATTTTGTGAATCAAGCAGTGAAAACTAATGACTGCTCGCGACGTCGTCTGCGTGGTTTAATTCGTTTCCCATATAAACTTCCACCGTCACTGACTCCTTTAAAAGATGATTTCTGGGATAAAAACTCCTTATCAAAAATATGTCTTTCCCCAGGAATCAAACTATCTCTATACCAAATTTCATCTCAAACACATCACAGACAGACACACTTTCGCGTTTATAATCTAAGTATGGATAAATCTCTATTTCCCTAGATCGTGCTATAACTTGAGAATGACTTTACCGACTTCATACGTTTTTTTTTACGTTCTAATATTTTGTACAAGGTTCTTATAGAAACAAAAAAGAAAGATGCACAGAAAATTAGGACAATTAGAAAAACTAACCACTCTACTCGATAGTCAGTTTCTACGATTTTTATTTCATATTTTATCAGGCATGATGACGGACAGACCGTCCGGTTTCGCTAGTCTGTAGATACATAAATTTCTATGTACTACTTATAAAAAGAGCGAGCAAGATGTATTTTCACAAAAGTTGAAAAATGTATTCAGAGCGAAAGTATTTAAAGTTCAAATGCAGTTTTACTCCCCAGGAGTTCTTTTATGCGCTATAAAACTTTATGTTACATTTCAAAAAGCGATATCGTTTAATCCGAATCGCACTGGCTCCGTAATTTCCCTTAGATCTTGCTTCCAATTTATTGACTGGTGACTTTTCATTTTAGACCTTAAAAGAGTTCCCGGAGGAACTGAGGGGGGACGTATCGCTGCATCTGCACCGGGAAATATTATCGCTTCCAATATTCGAGTCGGCGTCCCAGGGTTGCCTCAAGTTGCTATCTCTGCATATCCGGAACAATTTTTGCGCGCCTGGAGAATACTTGGTGCATAAAGGTAAATCACGCTCAGCGTTTGCGTTGCTTTCAAAAACAGATTGAAGTAGACACCGCATGTACTTTAAATTGTATGTAAACCGAGCCTGTCAGATGAGTAAGTACGCTCGAGCACAAATAAGTGGTGAAGAAGCATGGACCACGGTCACCTATTAAAATTATATCGCTTTTACAGCTTTTATGACATAGCTGCATATTTTTTAAACATTACGGCTAACGGTGAAAAAAACAATGAGCGTAAAAGGATTATCAATTGGATTAGTCTTCCTTTTGGCAAGCGAAGTACATACTCTTGCGTTATCTATTTCGATCTATGTCTGTGGTTGCATCATTTACGAAGTTTGGATTTATTTCCGTTTGTGTTGATGAAATGCAGATGATCGTTTCACAATGCGTGAGGGTAACTGTACACATAAGCGGGCCGGAATAATCGGCACAGCCAGTCAGTAAAGTCGAATATATGTAGATTACAACAATTGCAGTAATTACTGCTTTGTTGTTCGACAAATACTGCCGAACCCAATATGCGGACCCGCTTATGTATGTAGCTACCCTGAGCCTGCATTTTTATTGTTAAGTATTCCTATTATAGTACTTATTCTATAATATCTGTCACATTCCGTTTTTTGTCGTAAATGTTTAATTATTTTTTTTCTACTAATAAAAATTTTTTTTTTTCTACTAATAAAAGGTAATTTTTATTAGTAGAAAAAAAAAATTAACCATACTATATAGGATTGCCAATGGATCATCCGGCAGTTGCCTGATTGAAGCTCTAAAGTTTAAGGTGCCTACACGGTCTGTGCGTAAATAACAATTATTTTGTGTACCCTCCACCACAAATAATGTTTCGCTGAACAGCCCATTGAACAGAATGTGTTCATACTTTAACAATATTTGCTCTGATCATGACATGTTTAACTGTAGCTTACTTTCTTTCAAGAATTATTTGTTTAAAATTTGTGCTGAACACTAAAAATTATTCCCCTCCCTGCAAAGCCTATTATAATTGAGATATTTGTGAATTACAATAATATTTAACTCTGTTATAATGATATAATATTAAGATTTTTTTTTTTTTCGATGTCTATTTATGTATGTAAATGTTGTGCACAATTGTAATTGGGCACAGGCATGCCCATAGTTTTTCATATCTTTTTGTACTTGTGTTGTTTTTTTTTGTCTGATGCCTGTTATTGTGCCATTATAAATAAATAAATAAATATCACCATGTTCAGATAGTCTGGTCTTTCGCGCAGGGTACTTTTTTTTTGTGGTCCTGTGATCGTTCATTAACTGCTTGGAGAGTCCTCGAAATTTTTAAATGCATTGATTTTAGTTACTCGTATGGATAAAAAGTGTTGCTTTAATTTTGAATAGTTGTGTGACGATTCTTTTTATAGCTGGGTAGGCAAATGACTCTACCCCACCTGATATTAAGTGGTGATAAAGTCCATATATAAATTATTTTTGTCATAAGATATTTTTTGACAAAAATAATCAATACTAACAGTGAAAAAGCAATCGTTAGATTTATTGTCGGGCGGCGGTATAAATGCACCGTTGATTAAACAGAGGGTGATTGGGCACGTTTGCGTAATCTGGGAAACGTTAGCGAGTAGGTACCGGCATCAAAGCGTTCCAGGAAATGATCAATTAGTTATGCTTTCAGTTTCTTAGCAATCACACTATTTTATTTATTTATTTACTCTTTATTGTCATTTTACAACAAATGGCGGACTTAATGCCACATGGCATTCTCTACTAGTCAACCATCAGGCTAAGCAGAGACATTATACGGTAAAGTAAATAAAAGCAAAAGGTGAAAGAAAGAAAAATCTACTACACTATCTCTCATTGTTATGATTTAGTGGTACTTAATAAAATCTTTTCCTTTTCATAGGCGATGCCCTCACGTATATTTACTACATATGCAACGGATCAATGGAAGTAATGCAAAATGACATGGTGGTCGCTATACTAGGTGAGTATTTTAATTCTAAGCACAACACAAAAGTCAGTCCGAATAATATTTCATTTTGTGTCATGCAAATCTTTCTTTCTGGTATATAAAATTCTCGTGTCACAGTGTTTGTAGCATAACTCCTCCGAAACGGCTTGATTGATTCTTATGAAATTTTGTGTGTATAGATTAGGTTAGGTCAGAGATTTAGGACTATTCAGTAGGTCTGAGAAAAGGACGTAAACTATTTTTCAGAACCTTACCAGGGAGTGGTCCACCCCATTTTCTTTATGATTCAGAATTAAAAATACGTACAACCCTAAATTTTCACCCTTCTAACAGCCCCTAATTTTATATCGGTACGAATTTGCTGGGTCAGCTGGTAAATTCACAAATTTAACAATTTTAATTGTTATATTCGAAGGCAAAGGCGATTTAGTGGGTTGCGATATGAATACCCATTTGCAAGCTCACAATGGGTCGGGACAAAACCAGGGCAATAATCCGGATGTCGTCGTAAAATCAAGCAGCGATGTGAAGGTACGTCTCAAATGTCTAACAATTTAATATCGATAGGGTCAGATATGTGACTTATCTGAGATAAAAGTATCTAAGATACAGGTACAAGATACAAAACACGTTGTATTTCAAATATTTTTTTGAAATTTATTTTGTATCTTGTATACTTTTTTCAGTATCTTAATTATTTTTAACTATCTTCGCGTTTGGACTTTATCACCACTTAACATCAAGTGGGGTAGAGTCATTTGCCTACCTCGCTACAAAAAAAATCTTAGTATTTTGAAGATACTTTTGACGTGACAACGTCTTAAATTAGGTTGCGGCTGGGAGTCACTTATGAAAAAGTGTAACGCTCGGTAACGTTACGATGAGTCTCGTAGCATGCTGGAACCCCGTAGCCGTGTAGCAAGTTTGCTACGAATCGTCGTAGCGTGGTTGCATGCTACGATGGTATTCACAAGCACAATGCATTGTAATATGTTTTTTTGACGTATTATATATATTTCTATAGTTAAAATTTGTGCAATTCTTATTGACGTGACAACGTCTTAAATTAGGTTGCGGCTGGGAGTCACTTATGAAAAAGTGTAACGCTCGGTAACGTTACGATGAGTCTCGTAGCATGCTGGAACCCCGTAGCCGTGTAGCAAGTTTGCTACGAATCGTCGTAGCGTGGTTGCATGCTACGATGGTATTCACAAGCACAATGCATTGTAATATGTTTTTTTGACGTATTATATATATTTCTATAGTTAAAATTTGTGCAATTCTTATTTTCATTCAATTCCTTGTTCCTATTGTGCAATTTAATTATATTCATATCAATAAATATTCTACCGAGAAAAAGACGTTGTCACGTAAAATCTTCGCCCGTAAAACCGACTTTACAGGCAACCATTTTTTTTTACTTAGATACTTTTTCTTTTCCTTTATAATTTTCAATATTGATTTTAAAACGCATGCATTTTTGTAAATTACCGCGTCACTATTCTAAGCCTAAGTGCATTACTTTTCTATCAACTTTATTCACCGTGAAAAGAAAATCGTAAGTTCATATATTGCTGTCTCGTTCACCTAATGTTATGGGTTAGGTGGTAGTGAACAAAAAATACGTAACTTCCCCTACAGTACTTTTTTTTTGTTCGCGTTCACTAAAGGAAGAAGAGTCGTTTGAAATTTGTGTCAGTTTTCTTTAGTCTGTTTAGTAATAGAGTGCAATGAAGAACAGGTTATTTTTACAAATAATTAGAGTGAGAGACCGTAGTTTATTAATGATATCATCTCTTGAACATGACCATTCGTAAACACTGCATTTTATTAATAATCGCGGTCACCCATCCCAAACCCAACCAATCGTAAACAACCTGCATATTACTAATAGTCGCGGTCACCCATCCCAAACCCAACCAATCGTAAACAACCTGCATATTATTAATAATCGCGGTCACCCATCCCAAACCCAACCAATCGTAAACAACCTGCATATTATTAATAATCGCGGTCACCCATCCTAAACCTGACCAATCATAAACACTCTGCACTTTCAGAATATCGAAAAAAAATACACCGAAGCTATCATTAATTCATAGTTCTTGATAAATATTGAAAAAACGTGAATGCAAGTAAGATCAATCGTAAGATGATGATGATGAATTTGATGATTGGAAGAACAGCAGCCACGTCTTTAGGTTCATGGCCTAACGGTTTTGTTATCAAAAAACAGGCACAACGGACTGGCTACATTGCTAACAGTGTTGCCACCTTGGATTTTTTTAAGGCGCCAATTCAAAGGTAAAATATCGCCAGATTTCAAAAATTTGGATTTAAAAAATACACCAGAATCCGCTAAATTACAATTAATTACATCTCAGACAACAAAAAACCCTAATTTAAATAAAAAAACCAGTGAATATGTATGAGATGCTACAGAAATAACTGTGTTAGTTATCCCGCAGTAGGCAATATTGTTTTTACTAACTTATAACTATTCCATGCGTTACCTTAGTAGTACTAGAGAATGAAATAAAACCAGGTAGATATGTATTTACATTCATTATTTATAATCAAGAAATAAATCTTAAACAAAATGTAAAATTTAAAATTCAATATTGTTAAATGTTACACTTCTATAACTTCATCGTCGTTTACAGACGCCGACGCTTCTGTCGATGAAGCCGATGTCGAAGCTGAAGATGTTTGGTTGTGGTTGTAGTGGATTTTTAAAAGAGTATTTTGTGTTTTTTCAATGATATCTTTTGATTGCCGGATAGAATTTGCATTTTTTGTTTGTACTTTTTTGTTTTAGCATGTTTTCTCTACTCTACTACTTTTGCTAATAATTCTGCTTTGCAAAATGAGCAAAACGCCTTCGCATCAACACCTGCTAAAGGTTTAAGCCAAGTTTGGAATTCGCCGAGTGATTCCCATTCATTTCTATACCTTTGAATGTAATTCTTTTTCTTGAATAGAATTTCCATAATAACATATAATTAAATACTCTAAACATACAGCTTCAGGAGTTCATACACTGTTACAAATGTTTCTATCAAATCAAACTTTTACACTTTTTAACAACACAATGGCGTTCATTGTGTTGTTGTTAAGTGTCTAATTCATGAAACAGAATGAACGATTAAAGGAAGCCCTTAACAGTCAAACGCGTGTAGGAATTCCCCTGTCACAGAGTAAGCATAGAACATCATGAAATTTCGGAAAGTTAGGGAATTTCCCTCATACAAATATGTTGCTAGATTTCATGTTAAAAAACCACTAAAAACACTAAAAAAACTATACCCGCTAGATAATGAAAATTTACCACTAGAAGCCGTGAAAAAGCACCAGTTCTGGTGGAAAACCACCAAGGTGGCAACACTGATTGCTAACATGTATTGATTCAAAAAGTATCTTTATCTTAAAAAAAGTATTTTGCAAATACGTATCTTGTATCTGTTATCTAAATACTTGACTACCTGGTATCTTGTATTTTGTATTTTAGATACTTTTTTAATGTATTTTTTACATCTCTGAATAGGATAACGTTCAAAAACTTGGAACGCACCACTTACAAAAGATTTAGACACATTCTGCCTTATTCCAAAACACGGGCTAAAGTTAGTCTTGGTATAAACCTAATGTTGTCTCTGTCATCTTTTTATCAAAAAGTGACAGTGTCCCATTTAGTTCCAGTTTAACTTAAGTCAACGTTTTGAAATAAAGCTGTAAGTATTTTAGAACATGCTTTGGATTTTTTATGATGTTTTCTTCTTAAACTTCTGTAGAACGCCTAACTAACTTCTTTGTGGTAATACTAGTCCAATTGCAGATTTAAGACATGCATTTATACTAATATTATAAAGAGGAAAAATGTGATTGTTGGTTTGTTTGCATTGAATGGGCTTCAAAATTACTGGACTAATTTGAAAAATTCTTCCACACTTAGAATTCTTCATTATCCCCGATGAACAAAGATTAAAGAATATTTCAAAATAGTTACAGATCTGTATGAAAATTCAACAAGGAGAAATAATTACATATTTTCGAGGTTTCCTCAATAATTTTGATAAATAGGTTCCTGAGGGATAACCACTGAGCTATTATTCGATTTCAAAATAAAACAACGACCAATTGTCTACTTTACATCCTTGACCGATTTCCTTCAAGGTAATGAAAAGTATCAATGTGACATAAATTTCTCCAACTTTGAAATGTGAAATCGTTGTAGGAGAAAAGTTACACAATCAGGCCCTAAGATTAGGCCCTTGTTTAGAAATTGTTAGTAACAGTCTTACTAGCTTAAAAGCGAAAACACTTTTTTTTTAATCAAGAACTTCTTAACGTGTTCTAAATTTGCACGAAACTGTAGGACTTCTGTAAAATACTTTTCAGTTTCCTTATAATCAAGAAGACTTCAACTGCCTCAGTAGTATTCATTCATTCATTGTATTCATGAAACGTAATTGAGCTTTGGCTTTTTGAGTCGTTATTGTAGATTTCGCTGGAGTACAAAAATACGAATATATAAATTTTTCCTAAAAAGCGACTTAACTATTTCAAATTAATCCTAAATAATGATGTCAGAATGAATGAATGAAGGAGCTCGATGGCGCAAGTGGTTAGCGCGTTCGGCTGCGTTCGTTGAAGTTAAGCAACTTTCACAGTGGTCGGTCATTGGATGGGTGACCAAAAATTTACTATCTCGAGCTCCTCCGTGCTTCGGAAGGCACGTTAAGCCGTTGGTCCCGGCTGCATCTGCAGTCGTTAGCACCCACCAATCCGCACTGGGCCCGCGTGGTGGGTCACGGCCCAATCTCCCTATTCCATCCATAGGGAAGGCCTGTGCCCCAGCAGTGGGGACATTAATAGGCTGATGATGAATGATGTCAGAATAGGTAGAACAGCAGGTAAAAAGAACATAGGTACATCAAGATTAAAACACATCGATTTATCGTTTTCTCTTGTTAAGGCAACATCGAATGTTGAATACCGTTATGTTCAATCAACCTTCCCCAATTACCAATCTCAGACTACCTACCTGGGTTGGGTTAGGCCGGGGATCTGCGCTCACATTATATCATTATAATAAAACCCTTATAACAATATCTGTAAATTGTTTACATTATAGTATAAAACAGTTGCTTTTTTTTAAGTAAATTAACTATTTTGTTATATTTACTAGCGGCCGCCCACGACTTCGTACGCGTGGAGTTAGTTAGAAATAAAGGATCACTGCTCTTCCCCGTAGGTAATATGTAGCCTATATGTTGACCCGACTTCTTAATAATATTCATGCCAAATTTGAATTAAATTTATGCAGTACTTTTTGAGTTTATCCCGGACATACATACAGGCAAATAGACAAAAATTCTATAAACTATATTTTTGGCTTCGGCGTTGATTATAGATCACACTTCAAGTATTCTTTTAAAAAAATATTTAATGTACAGTTATGACTTTCCTACCATTTTATTATATGTATAGATTTTAAGCAATTATTTGCAAAATTTTATAAATTTAAAGAAAATTTTACTAGAAAAAGATCACGCGGTCCAGGCAGCAGACGGGATTCGCACCTTCCGCTATCCGGGCGGAATGGGACGCGGACGTCGCAGAAGCATAATTGGTAAGTGAGCCCGCCCCGTGTGAATCGGAAGGTGCGAGTTCGAATCCCGTCTGCTGTCTGGACCGACAGACCACGTGGTTTTCTAGTAAAATTTTCTTTATATTTATAAATAAACTTTTATTAAAATTACATTTTATATTAAAAGGGTGGCATACGAGAATTAGGCTCGCTCCGTGGAGCCCTGGAACCTTACACACTGTCATAAACTTTATTATCAACTTTTAAAAAATGTATAAACAAATATCCTCGAAATCATTTTTCAATGACTATTCTGATATTTTTATACTGGTCCATTGTGTCTATACTCAATAATTAATTGACCTTCCAAATACCCAAATATGATTTACGTATGACACTTCAAATAAAATTAAAATAAATATAAAAAACTGCCCAAGCTACAACAGATTCCCTTACTATTTATAAGGTACGCACTTTTACGTTTTGCTTGCATAACTACTAATGTAAGCCTCCCGGCGGTATTATTTCGCACCAAAGGTGGTGAACAAAGAGCAAAATAAAAGAAAGAAAACTCTTCAAAGCCTTTTTATTTTATTAAATCGCATATAAAAATTGTACAATGACTCAAAGTTAAGAAGAATAGAACTTATGAATTACTTATTGAATCGATATCTTCTTTGCATGTTCTTAGTATTATTATTTTGATTGCCTAAGATATCTGTGTTTTCTCTAAATTCATTCACATATAAAAAAATACAATGACACAAGGTTGAAAAAGAACAGAACTTATCTAATCGATTACTTCTTTGCAAGTGCTTAGTGTCTTTATTCTGCTTTGTCTTAAGAGTAAATTTATGTGTGTATTTAAATTACTGTTAAATATTTTTTCTATTTTTTATCTGTCTTTAACATTCTTTTGAAATTTAAGTTTGAACATTTTTTGTCCACCAACTTTTTTCTTACTTGTTGCAAACCTTAGAAAACCTACTTAGTTTTTTTGGCGTTTACTAAATTCTCTCGCTCTTTTCTCCTCTTCCTCTTCCTCGTTATCCTTATTGATGAGACGGAAGTTTTTTTTAATAACTTTTATATCCGGTATTTTTTATTAATGTTGGGACTCATTCCCCGTCTGAAAAGTATCTAAAGGGATTCTGTGCTAGGCGGGTTAATAAAAAATCATGATTATATTCCACTGTTAAAAGTAGAAACAATATTATTATAGGTCTAAAGTTTGCTGTGATGTCTGTAAAACTTTTATTTTTAAATAATAGTTTAAAAAGTACTGTTTAATTAGTATTAAGAGCTTAATACCAATTAGTGTAATGCAAGTATAATTATGTTTTTAATACACATCACAAAACGTGTTGGGTTGCAAAATTATCTCTCGCAGTAAAACCATGCTAAACCTGATTACATTCTAATTTCGTCAAGATTAACTTATAATTGTGCTGCCGAGGCTTGTGACATTAAATCCCGTCTTATAACGGAATATTCATTTCTAAATATTACTGACGCACGCAGAAAATTTATCTAAGCAATATAACAAATCAAAAGCTTTGAGCCAAGAGATTCAAACTAATTTATTGTCTTTGTATTTTACGTCTATTATGAATTCATTCATTTAATTTATAGTATTTTGTACTGTAGGAATAATTTAAACGCAAAAACTTGAAGTAACAAAATTAACATCATTTTAATCGTACAAGAGAAGAGAAATACGAAATGGTATAATAATAACAATAAGCATTTTTTGATAACAGTTGATAACATGTGTAAAAGGAGATTGCATAAATTGGCCCAAATGCACAAAAAATATTGACATACACGATAGTTCTTGGCGTAATTTATAATTTAATTTACAGTTATTAGATTTCAACGGACACCTTTGTATAATATATTTGCTTTAAAAAGGACTTTTAATTTTACCGGTTTGGAAAACATACGAATCATTTTTAATGGCTATGGGTGTAGTAACATGCAGCCAAAGACTGATCGAAGTTGTTGATATAACATAAAAACAAATCAATTTTGTAAAGATCGATAAAATAAATATATTTTTTTTATTACACTGTGGTATTAATATCCACCACTATATTAACATTTTCACTAGATGCAAATGTGCTCAGACAATTAGTATAGATGGTAGGCGACATCATAAAGTCTATTGCCATACATTTTTCGCCAAAGACCTCCATAAACACATTATAATCTGTATTTATGTTAGACTTTAAGGTATCTTCTATGGGCCTACGTTCCCTGACTACAAATTAATAAATAAATAAAATTATAAGGTGTGATACACTAAAAATCTAAAATATGGTTATCTTAAAAACATAACAAAAATAATGAAGCTACTGAATATATGGCTATAGAACCTAAATCTCTTAGCTTTCTTTGGTTAACGAGAGTTTAAAAATTCTCTCTAATCTGTGGCTCATTCACAATCATCACACAGTTTCTGTCACAGAGTACCTTATTATAACCGGAAATGACACCTCATCTTAAAAGTTACTCTTATGCATTAACTTTAAAAACAGGCAACTATCTGTTAATGTACATGCTCTATATACTTGAATCTAATCCATAATTTCGGTCTTGGCTTGATTTCCCTAGTTTACTATATAACTTTTTTAGTTTTTTATTATTTTAATATGTTCAGTGTATATGGTTTATAGAAGTTCTCAGGGGTGTCCGTCAATAATATTCGTTTCTACAGTAATTTATATATAATTTCGAATCTAGGAAACAATTTTTCATGATTATTGGTCTTTAGGCCAAACATGTATGGAAGCTGAACAATCTCCTTTGTCAGGCGCTGGTTTAATAAAATTGAAGGGAAAATTCAATTTTATTAAACCAGATGCTGCTTTTAAAAGGCTAATTCACTGTTTTTAGAAATTGCAACTCAAAAATGTATGCCTACTTAGCAGTAAGTAGGTACACATTTTTATTCAACTGTGTAAACTACAATATTATATAATTGTGTAATTCAAACACAGGGCTATTTTATCTTAATTTGCTTGAAAACACATTTCTTTTTTTAATGCATGTTCATACTATTGCGGGTAAAATATTTTTACTCTCAAATAAAATTAAACAATATCTTTCTTTTCTCCAGGCCTTAACTTACTGTGATTTGAAATGCATACACATGGGAGGGTTGGCCGAAGTTCTTCGGCTGTATCCGGAATACCAACAAGAGTTCATTCACGACATCCAACATGATCTCACGTACAACTTGCGAGAGGGCTACGAGGCAGAACAGGAGTCTGATGGGAACGGTCACCCATCGCTAACTTTACCCTCTATATCAGAAGACGATGAGAATGCGGCGGAAGACTCAGCCCTATCACCGAAGAAACCCACATCAAGTACTAATAGTCCACGACACGCTAAATTCAGGTATATTTCATACATTTATGAAATATTGAGAAAATATTTATATAGGATAGTGAACATTTTAGGGTAGCAAGATTGTTATCAAAATACTACAATTGATAGGCACCGGAGCGGAGCTCCCGCATCCCGGGGATTATGGATCAACACAATATAGAAAAGAACCTTTACAAACAAATACATGTTTCAAACATGATTTTATATGGATGTGCTGCGGGTTTGTTTTTAGGCCTTCGTATATCAAAGGAAAAAGGAAATCTTATAGGATCTATCTGCCAGTCTAGACTCTTTTTTTCACGTCCGCGTGGAGGTATCAAGTTGAAATCAATAAGTCTTAAATCCCTTCAAACTGTGAAAAATTCATTCTCCTGTAATCGTACAAGCCTCACGTCATGAAAAACAAAAAATGAATTTCGGCAAAGAGCAGCAAAAAAGAAGCTTTTTGCCAGTTGCTTATTATACGTGTTGGTAGAATGAAAAGAGTTTATAGGTACGCGTATAATTTTTTACTAAATAAGTGCCAGAAGTACACGTTAACTCACATTTTACGCGACGTTTCTTGCATCGTGTTACACGCCCTTCACAGTTTTGTATTTCTATACACCGTTCCAACCACATAGTTACGCTAAAGAATAGTATTTCATAGTAATGAAACACAAATGCGATCCAAGATTCATCGTGCAAATTACACTGTGTATAGTTCGACAAAAGTGATACGCGGACCGCGCACGAAGGGCGCACATAACTTATTAAATTAAGACTACGAGCTATTTCTTTTTTTGAAAGCTTACATAGCCGAATACAATTCAAATATTTAAATAATAAATCTGTATAAAATCAAAACTTTGTGTCATCACCATATACCATACATATACCATACCTGAGTCCCAGTTTAGATTCCCGGTCTAATAATTGTAAAAATCAGCATTATTCATATTGTTTTAGTTATATTTTTATTTTATTTAAAGCATAACTCGCCCGGCCCAGCCAAAAAAATTAAATAGTTAGCCTGATTGATTTTTATAGTTAAATTTTATTTTTCTATATTGCCTCGAGACTAATAAGTAACTAATTATTTATAGTAGGCGTAGGTCTTATCTCAATGGCGCAGGCCATTCCCTTGTTACTGATACTCTTAATACAAGTGATTAATCTTTCACATTACTTCTAGACTCACAACAATGTGCCTAAATATTTTACAAATTATGTTTCTACTAGTAACCGCCCTCATCCGCCTTAACTTTAGCTTGTTGAGAATCCCTCGGGTATAAGTATTTTATATCCCAATCCAGGTAATAAACTACATATACGTGTGCCAATTTTCATCCAAATCCGTGGCCGTGCAGCCGTTTTTACGTGATTGAATATCAAACACACAAACTTACACTTTTAAAATATTAGTAAGATAACACGTATGAGACCTCTACGAAGAGTTGACATTATTTCTATTCCTTGTCATCAGATCAGACGGCCAACAACGCCTCTCGCATCGAGAGCTCAGGGAGCGAATAGAGCGCCAAAGATCGGTCGCCACGCCTAAAATAACCAGGTCCGATTCTTTGGAAGGCCTTAACCTGGAGATGCACAACACTCGGTCTTCAGTTGAAAGACTGGACACTCAAGTCTCGAGTTTGCATCACGACGTTGCTGCCCTTAGCATGGAGGTGAGCTATGTTGTAAGTTTAAAGTCATGATAAGCTCCTACATCTGAGTAATAGACCACAGTGGACTTTTTCACGAATAAGACTCAACTCATACTGGCGCGAAGTCGAAGATGTTTTACGCCTTAGGAATATTTCTAAATCGGTGCAGTAAATAGATCACCCCGAAACAAACTATCGGCTTATATATACGTCAGTAATTAATAGTGGAAAAATAGAGATGATTTGCTTGCTACAGACGAAACAGACGACAAACATAACGCGTCACTACGACTCTGCGCCAGTGCGGGTTGAGTTGGGCGTAAATAATTGCCTGAAAAATTATCATCCATTTTACATGACTGCGCACCCAATACTGTCACATCCAGTTAAAGTTACGTCTATAATATCATTAGAGGGGAAACATTTTGGACGATTCAAAATAGTTCTTAATATGTATTATGCAACCAAATTGAGTAGGATGCGAGTAGCCCAAGATCGATCTGAGTGGCGTGCAATTGGAGAGGTCTATGTCCAGCAGTGGACTAGGATAGGCTGTTAATGATGATGAACCAAATTGAATTTAGAAAGTTTAACTTAGACTTGATTCTTTAGGTTACGTTTCTCGGCTTTGCGTTTCAACCATCGCCTACAGTAGCAGCCGAAATTAACCTACCCATTAATGGATGACTATATTTAGCTAAATCGTTTTACCCTAGGTATTTATTTAGTAAATCAACAGCTTTAAAATAGGAATCCCTAATAATATTAATATCTCTGAGGAAAACCCACATTTAGCGACGATCCCGACAATCGATATCATCGCTCGACTGGAAAACGGGAAAATTGATTTCAATTTAGTTTTCTTCACGAAGTTTCGAAGTTAGGGAGCTCAGACTTTTAGCAGAATTTCCATGAATGAAATTATTCTACTTGACAGGAGGTCATTGAATTCGACCTAGCAATATCGAAAACTACTTTGTTTCTTAAACAACAAACCTTAGTCGAAATTTTTGACGAACTACCGCCGCGTGTAATGCTGGCAGTCACCCGTATTATGGCTCAATTACATTTAAATAGCCCCTATTCGGGTGCACGAAAGATATTACTCGAATTCGGGTACCCGAAGCAATATTTGAGAATACGGGCTGGAACACACTGTCAGGTAGCCAAAACGAAAACTACCCCAATACGGGCGTACTCGACTCCGTTCATTTACACTTAGTCGTTGACCCGAATCCATTGGCACTCGTATTCGGACTGACGACCTAGTGTAATCGCGTCAGTAGAAATAAGTGTTTGTGAAATTGCCTTTCTGAGTGAAATTCCCGGTAATTTTCATTGTCGTAGTTAGACATAATAAGGCTATTTTATTAATAATTCTGGTGCATAATTATTGTACCAAAATTATTAATTAAAAACAATGCCTAATTGTAATTTATTTGTTTCTTAGGTTTTCACGCACATCACTCATTAAATAATTATTCTGACGATGCAGACTGAAAAGGCTGCGAAACCTCAATAAATAAATAAAGTTTCGTGCATTAACCCGTAAAAACTAGTTTTATCTAATTGTAATTTGTTTAACTCATTATTTAATCTCTTTCGATTGTTTACAGTCAAAAAGGGATACAATGAGGCTTAAACATAATTAACTGGCTGCTTTAAAATTCGTTATAATTCAAAGGTGGAAAAACTTCGGTGAAATTCGTAGAACAGTTTTCTACTTCAGTAATACAAAAGTGAAAAACAAACACTCAGGGGAAGGGAATTAAGTTACCACGGGGAGATATTGGAAAATCTGAGACATAGACATGGGCGTTTTTGGTTTTGAACGCAAACGGATATTTATCGGATTTCAGATTTCAAAATCGATTTTAAAATCCGTTTTTAGATATCCGATTTCAGATGTGCCGAACTTAGCCAATTCACTATTTTGTGTTATGATTTGGTTTTATTAGCTAACGACAATCACAAACAATTAATTGTACGAAGCAAGGATACTCATAGTTTTCGCGATTTTCCTTTATGCTTTAAATCTAATACTAGCAGAAAAGTTATCTTTACGGTTAAGAGTAAAACTATTGCGGCGCATTTAAAAATCGGCTTATATAATACATAATTACATCAGGTTAGCGTTAAAAAAAATGATAGTTGCTCGACTTTCGATGTTTTTAGACGTCATCTTTTTTCAGTAATAAATAATCCCGCCTTAGAGAAGAACAATAGATTTCCGTAAACAGCAAACCGAAATCGGACTTCCGAGCACGAAATCGGACTTCCGAAAACGAAAGCACGAATTTCGAATCCGATTTACATTTGGATACTTGTGGTGGTATCAGATCGATCGGTAGCGTTTTGGTTCGGTTAGATTTCTAAAATCGGATTTTCTTGTTGAGAAATCGTTCGGTATCGATTTGTGTTTGAAATCGGATTTTGGATTCGTTTTGATATATCGGACGCATGCCTACTGAGACAGCTATGATGGCAATACGGAAAACCGAGTATCAGTAATTTTCAGGATTGGATCACGCGCTAGTATAAATTCGTCGCTATTTGCAATCAATGGAGGGCCTATACTTGAAGTGACGAAATATAATTTCATTAATGAACTTGTGAAATTAAATCAATTAGCAACCAGATGCTGAAACACTATACTTTCACCAATGAGGGACCTGCAAAATGTCAAATTATTTGGAGTAAAATTACGCAATTTACTTGATATTCATCAAAAATCGCAGGAAACACTGTTATATGATACTAGTTGCATATGTATCCGAAATATGTTTATTCTATAGGTATATATAATATTTAATCAGGAGATATTTCTTGTTAGTTATTGAAACTTGTTATTTTCGTTGAAATAATTTTTTTGTAGATTGTTAAAAGAGAAAATGTAATCAGCCAAATGCGAACGAAACGAAACATTAAGATTGTCTGACTGAATAGCAATGCTAGTCAGGGCTGCGTTCGGAAGCTGCGCTCTAGGTGCAACTGTTAATACATATATTTCGTACCTTATTTGCGTGGATGGTGGCGCCCCCCTGAACTGTCACTCACATTCTTGTTTCGCTGCCTTGCAGCTTAAGAAAGGCTAGAAAGAATTCGACATGGCCGTCAGGGCCGCGGTAGCATAATTAGTCAGTGCATTCACCCGGATAGTGAATGGTGCGGGTTCGAGTCCCGTATGCCACCTGGTCCGAGTAGATCTTTTTTTTCTAGTAATATTTTCTTTAGATTTAAACATCGAGCTGTGTGCTTAAAAAATAAAAATTATAACTATTATTGCTATTTCTTCTTTTAAATGTTTAATACTTGTAAAGGTATTCATTTGACATTGTGGGTTACATACAATACGAAGAGATGGCGCTGCCTTGTAGCTTAAGAGAGGCTAGAAAGAATTCGACACGGCAGTCTGGGCCGCGGTAGCATAATTAGTCACTGCATTCGCCCGGATAGCGAAGGGTGCGGGTTCGAGTCCCGTCTGCCGCCTGGTCCGGTGGAATTATTTTCTAGTAATATTGGCTTTAGATTTAAATAATGTTTTTTTATTTAATTAAGTTATATGTTTTTTATTTTTATATTTGACTTGATTGAATGAAAAGTAAATTGCGGTTTACGATTTATTAAATAAACTACTAACTAGATCTCGTTCAAACTAATTTTCAGTGGAAGTTTGCATGGTAATGTAGATCACATATTTTTTTTAGTTTTATCATTCTCATATTTTAGAAGATACAGGGGGGGTCACACATTTTACCACTTTGGAAGAAGTGTCTCTCGCGCAAACTAAACTGAATGTTTAGAAAAAAACTATATTAGAAACCTCAATATCATTTTTGAAGACCTATCCATAGATACCCCACACGTATGTATGGGTTTGATGAAAAAAAATGAGTTTCAGTTCTAAGTATACAAACCCCCAAAATTAGTGTAAAAATCTTAATGCGGTTCACAGATGCCATCTTCTTAGCAAGTTTTAACAATATAGTTCTTTTAGTTTCGAAAAAAAATGGATGTGACATACGGACGGACAGACATACAGACATCCATAAGGGTTCCGTTTTTTGTCATTTGGCTACGGAACCCTAAAAATGGTTTGGTTTTATAAAACCACGATAAAATGAAACTTTTAATATCCTGAACCTGGGCCGCCCACGTAGCAGGCATGCTTTCTACCACTGAGCCAAGAATGCTTGTTGTTAAGGTCTAAATTTTTAAAATGAAAGATGTAATGCGGTATACTAAATTAAACGGAAAAAAAAATTGTGGCTATCTAATAAAAGTTTCACTTTAAATGCCATCACGATGAGTATTTATTTCTTTAAATAACCTATAACATTAAAGGTAACATTAACATTAAAGAGACAGATATCTAGATCTATTATGTATTATACCCAACGCTGGCACTATTTTACTTGGACACCTGCTGTATATCTGATTATAATTTATTGCGTTTGCTACCTTCGCTACTGCAAAGAAATTCTCCACAAAGAAAAGGGATAATAAAATACGTTCCAGAAATATTTCGACATGACTTTTATTGTAATACAATTCAGGGTTCGTTTCGCTCATAATTTTCATTCGTTTTAGATAACATTTTTTATGTCCATCATTCATTTATTATTACAAAACAAGAGCATATCACTTATTCGTATGTATTATCGATTTATTACTTATTAATTTATCGTAGCTTGATCGTAGCAGCCAAAATTTTCGTACATATCGCGGTGAAATGTTTCGAATGAACTTATAACCTTAAGACTCAATTAAAAAAATTAAAATAAATGGCAAAAACCCTTGCATGATGTCACATGTTCTATATAATATGTTACTAAATTGTCATCTTTTGTCAAGTCATGTCAAGAATTTGAATTTGACTCAACCATTTTAGGGTTCCGTACCCAAAGAGTAAAAACGGAATCCTAAGACCACTTTTTACGGGGTCTATCTATAAGAATGTGAAATTCTAGTAGGATATGCATATGCTATTATTATACTAAAATATTTCTTGTCCATGTAAA